CCAAAAATCCTTAACTTGTATGTCTGAATCAATATTCACTATGATTTCCTAAAAGAATGATTGGTGGGTTTTTTTTTTGCATCAAATACATCTGACAAGTTATAGTATGCTTTACTTCTACCGACACATTTACATCATCTCAACAGAAGTGTTGGAATGCATCTTTTTGTTTATTTTATTAGAAACTTGAAACGTAAAGAGAGAATAATTGATACTTGATTGTATTTTTTTCTCTCTCTATTTATCGTTTTCCTATGATTTTTATTTTTCACATAAATTCATTGGTGAAGTGATTCTGTTTTTCTGGATTTACAATTTGTGGTGGTGTAAAATTTTCTTTCTAGAATTATTACTTTGTCCAACACAAATTATTTTAATTGCATTAGAGGAGATTGTTAACTTAGTAAATTGACTTTGAAAACTATGAAAATATTTTAAAAAACGTTTAAATTCTAAATTTCTCCAATCAGCCCTAAAAGTCCTAAACTTATTCTTTAGTTTTCTCACATCATTTTTTTCCATGTTATGGTTCTTTTTATGAAAGCTTTTATTTTGTGATTTTTTTTATTTTAAAATCACAGTTACAAAGCACAAAAAATAAATAAAACACTGTATAGGATATTATATTGGATTTGATAAATAAAATATCTATTTTTTATACATAAATTTACATAAAATTTATATTATAATTTACATAAGAATTACATAAATGTACCCAAAATACTTAATTATAACTTGTTAAAATTAATTTCTATAAGAATAAGAATTGGTTGTTAACTTGTTAGAATTAATTGCTAAAGTTATTAAAAGACACTTAATTTTTCTTATATTTTCAATAAATAATTTAAAAAAATTGTATAAGATATTATTGGATTTAATAAATAAAATCTATTTTTTATACATAAATTTACATAAAAATTATATTGTAATTTACATAAGAATTACATAAATGTACACAAAACACTTAATTGTAACTTGTTAAAATTAATTTATATAAGAATAATAATTGGCTATTAAATTGTTAGAATTAATTGCTAAATTTATTAAAAGACACTTAATTTTTACAGATTATTTTGTTTTAGTGACAAAAAAAAAAGAACTGTACATATAGATATGTTGATTATTTTTGCCTTTTTGGTAATGCTAGGGTTATACGACATTAACATAAATAATTTGAGGGTAAGAAGATCAGATAGTTTGATTACAAATTGGGAAAAAAGCAACACAAAAATAAATTTACAAACACGCATTTACAACCTTTTTGTGCTTTTTTATTTTAAGAACAGGAATAATGATAGTATCTATATTCTATAATAATATATTATTACATATATATAAATATAAACAAATAAARCAATAGAAAGAAATCGAATCCTATATTCTTAATTCTATTKTATTATAGAAATAGAAATTGTTTTTATTTTCATCCGATCAAAATAGGATTTTAGAGATAAGGAATAAAAAATTATGAATAAATCTAAGCGACCTTTTARTAAATCCAAGCGATCTTTTCGTAGGCGTTTGCCCCCGATCCAATCGGGGGATCGAATTGATTATAGAAACATGAGTTTAATTAGTCGATTTATTAGTGA